TATTTTCATCATTAAGAATTGAATGCAAATTCATGTACTGTACGAGTAAGATTTTCGTAATTAACAACAAGATAATATTTCAGCCAAATACATTTTCTAATTCATTGGATTGCGTACTTTAGAAAAAAAATAAACAAATGTTGGAAAAAAGCAAAAAAAAAAAAAACCGTAACGACGATGTTTTCAGCCTTTTGTTTTACTAACTAGTCGACGCCTAGTCGCCACGATTCATTTATAGAACTCGATATATATTGCTCACGGAAAAGTTTTTCATAAATAATTACTCGTAAATAATTTCTCGCATTGGCAAGAGTTGTGTTCCCGTGAATTAGTGGAAGAGGTTTACTAAAACGTATTAAAATTTCAGTGAAATGGATATAACCATTAAATTTTAAGCCATTATATAATTATTAAATATATAAACTTTTTATTACATTAGTAATAAAAAGTGCATATAACGCATTAACTTATAACAGCACATCATTATAAAAACATGTTAACTTTAGGTGACCAGGTTTTATTTCAATCACTTTATTCTTTATGTTTAAAGTTAGTAATAAAAATAAAATTATTTAACTTCATGCAATGACTGTGATACTGTAGTATTTAATTGTTAGACAAAAACTTTTTCACTATTTTCAAATACTGTATATGTTAGATATCAAATATAAACATCCAAACCCGATAGTTATATATTAAAGCCAAATGTTTGCCGAATTATATCGAGCTATGTAATTTCACGCCTAACGCCTGCCTCTAGTGCCAAATTACTTAGCATTTAATAGAGTCACGTGATATAACGTCATCGCTCCGCCCAACAAAACAATCGTCCGCCATATTGGTTGTTGATTTCTCATTACCTTGCTTGATCTCTATTATGTCAACGTGAAAGAAAGGAATTTTACCTGGCTTTGCAGCCGATTTGGAAGGAAATGAATTGATAAAATGTAAAGAGAAAACTTATTTTATTCGATGGGATCCATACGAAATGAAACAAACGGATTTTTCATCCAACGATTTAACCATGTGTCCAACTATAGAACGTTAATTATTAGGTTTTAACAACTAACTCTGTCAATCTAGATCAGATGAAGGCATACAAATCACTTGATGCTCATAATTATTTGACAAGCGGATTTATTCATCGTGATATTTTATCAAGAGCCGTTCGTAATGACTTAATTTTGCTTTTAGGAAAGGTACGTATCTTCATCATGTGAGACTTTCCATTACTCATAACATAACTGCGTTAATATAAAGAAGAATGTAATTTTATATTTAGTCACATTTTAAGTTTAATGGTATTTATAAATACCATTAAATTTTTTTTTTTTGTCAGTATGGTTTTGTGTTGCGCAGGTCTCTAACAACCTATTATTAAGATTAAATTAATTAGCCTAATACATGTGGCTATAATAAATTGAAGGACTTATCACATCTGGACATGACTGGAGCAAAGTAGACTAAATTTTTACAAAAGTTAGCCTTTAATTAACCACAATCAAATTTTTAGTAGAATGCATTTTGGGCACAAGAATTCATCAGCCTACATTTGTTAGAGACATACGCATCATCACGAAACCATAGTGACAAAAGAAAAAAATGTAATGGTATTTATAAATACAACTTAAAATGTGACTAAATATAAAATTACATTCTTCTTTATATTAACGCAGTTATGTTATGAGTAATGGAAAGTCTCACATGATGAAGATACGTACCTTTCCTAAAAGCAAAATTAAGTCATTACGAACGGCTCTTGATAAAATATCACGATGAATAAAT